CATGCGCCTGTGCCATCAAAGTTTCTATGTCGAGCTAGATTTGACAGTAGGACTCGTCAACCAAACGAGTCAATAACAGAATATGTTGCTGCTTTACGTCATTTAAGTAGATTTTGTGAATTTGGAGACACGCTGTCTGACAGACTATGTGAAAAGTTTGTGACAGGTGTAAACAGCCCTGATATTCAAAGAAAGTTGCTGCTCGAGTCAGATCTAAAATTGGAAAAAGCAATACAACTTGCAATGTCATTCCAGCAGTCATCAGATGCGGCGAGATCTTTAGCACCTTCAGAGATCCATGCAGTAAACAGCAGGTTAGTCAATAAACATCAACCCCATCAGAGCATTCCAACTTATGCTAAACAGCCTGCTCGTTCAAATCCTAGATCTAAATCTAGTAATAATTATCAAAAATGTCATCGATGCAAAGGTCCCCATGCATCTCATCGGTGCAAGTTCAAGTCTGCAACTTGTTATAAGTGCGGTAAGCAAGGTCACATTGCCAAGGCCTGCTTTGCAAAGTCTTCGTCTGTTGCTAAATCTAGCCATTCAAGACAGTACCGCAACCAAAAGCAGCACTATGTTAACTCTCACCAAGACTACCTAACCCAACCAATGAACCACTCTACCTGTGAAAATGCTCAAATTGATTTGCAGCCGGATTTCAGCCTGTTCTCTGTTAAATCAATAAGTCATGCTCCCATCAATGTACCAGTTTATATCAACGGTAAGAGCATCAGCTTCCAACTTGACACTGGAGCATCTCTAACAGTCATAACAAAGAAAGATTTTGACGCTGTCGCAGGAGGATCAGTGTCTCTACAGCCGTGTCACAAGTGTCTAACAACATACACTGGTGACAATGCTCCGGTAATAGGAGAGTGTATGGTTCATGTAAGTTATAATGGTCAAAGTGTTAAACTTCCTCTTCTTGTGGTTGAAGGAAATGGACCGCCATTACTAGGTAGGAACTGGTTAAGTGATCTTAAGTTAAATTGGGAGAGTATTTGTTCATTGAAGAATGTAAAAGAATCTAGTCTTACTTCACTAGATAAAGTTATATCTGAAAATAAATGTGTTTTTGGTAATTCAGGTTTACTAAATGATAGAACAGTGAAGTTAAGCATTAAAGATACAAATCCAAGATACTGCAAAGCTAGAGTTCCACCTTATGCAATGAGGAATAAAATTGAAAATGAGCTAAGTAGATTGGAATCTAATGGCATTATAAAGAAGGTAGACTATTCCGATTGGGCGACGCCCATTGTGCCAGTGTTAAAGAAGGATGGTTCTATAAGAATTTGTGGAGATTATAAAACTACACTGAATAAGCAAATAGAGCTAAATAGGTACCCTATACCTAACATTGAGGAAATCTCTTTGAATTTGGCAGGAGGAGACAAATTCACTGAATTAGACTTTAGTCATGCTTACACTCAACTAGAACTGCATCCAGATTCAAAAGTCTATACGACAATAAACACACATAAAGGACTCTACCAATATGAAAGACTATGTTTTGGCATATCATCCAGCCCTGGAATTTTCCAAGCTGTCATGGACAGTATTTTTAAGGACATTCCAAATGTTTGTGTTTACTTTGACAATGTGTACATAACTGGTAAGAATGACACTGAACATCTTAAAACACTTGATAAAGTATTAAAAATTGTTGGTGAAAAAGGTTTAAAGATAAACAAAGATAAATGTCAATTCATGTTGACAGAAATTAGTTTTCTTGGTTATATATTAAGCAAGCAAGGTATCAGACCTCAACCTGAGAAAACAAAAGCCATTAAAGAAGCACCCAAACCTGAAAATACCCAACAACTAAGAGCTTTTTTGGGCTTGATAAATTACTATGCAAAGTTCATAGGGAATCTGTCTGGTAAACTATCACCACTGTACAAGCTGCTACAGAAAAATGCAACTTGGCACTGGGGTAAACAACAAGAAGCTGCTTTTAACACAGCAAAAGAGGCTTTGTCTGCTGACACCTTACTAACTCACTATGACCCAGGGAAAAGACTTATATTAACATGTGATGCTTCACCAGATGGTGTAGGAGCAGTCTTGTCCCACATGGATGAGAAGGGTGACAGACCCATTGCTTTTGCCAGTAGATCTTTGAACCAGGCTGAGAAAAATTATTCTCAGTTAGATAGGGAAGGCTTAGGCATCATTTTTGGTGTTAAGAAATTTCATAAGTTTCTGTTTGGTAGGAAGTTCACCATCTTTACAGATCATAAACCATTGCTAGGTTTATTTGGAGAAAACAAAACCCTACCTGAGCATGCCTCTCCAAGAATTCAAAGATGGGCTATCACACTAACTGCATACAATTATGAATTGAAATACAAACCTGGATCTGAGAATAGTGCAGATAGTCTTAGCAGATTACCTTTAAAAAACCAAAGCCTGAGCTATGTACCAGAAGAAGTATTTGTTCTCTTCACTATCATGGATAACTCCAATATAAATGTGAATGATATTAAAAGAGAAACACAAAAAGATGAGTGCTTAATAAAAGTATATGAGTACTGTAAGAATGGTTGGCCTGAAGAGTCTGTGAATGATGACTTAAGGCCATATAAAATAAGAAATTAAAACCCTTTGTGAAGATAATATAAAAGATGGAGAAGATGCAGTCCATTATCAGTCAGAGTTGCCTAAACAAAGTATTTGTAACTTAATAAATGATTATGGTGATATGGCAATTTCAAATACATTAGTAAGAAGGAATGTGATCATCAAACAACTTTGCTAACATCATTAGCACTTACAGAAACTAAAAGGGTAACATCAAAAGAAAAGAAAAAGGATTTTTGCCATTTAATACACCCACTTCAAATGCTGGATCACAGTTGCAAAGTGATATTGTCCAGGATATTACTTTTAAACAGTATTTTTGGTTACCAAAAAGCACTATCAGATTACCTGAGGAAATTGATCAATCAAAGAAATCTATGTCAGTCAAGGATCTGAATAACAGCATAATACTTTCAGATGCCAATTCAAAAATAGTTCCATTAGATCATGACAAACATTCATTGAAAGAGAATTTGGTGTTAATAAGAATGTGTATCTAAGAAATTATGGGAGAAAGGAAAAATGGATACCAGGTCAAATTGTTCAATGTACAGGACCTGTGCCTTATAAAGTTAAAAATAACTTGTGCAGATAATAAGTGTGAATCTGCCAATCCCACCAGATCTGAACAGTTCACACCAACTCAGTTTGTTCTACAACCAGGTTCTGTTGATATGAGTGAACCAAGTTGTCTGGAGTCAGAAAATGTAAATTCTGGAGTTAATGATTTAAATCCTAGACCTCCTGAGATAGAGAATCCAGATGGTCAGAATCTTGAGTCACCAAATCAGAAGCCACTGAGAAGGTCAAGCAGGACAATCAAAGTCCCAAATAAGTTAGACCTATGATTCTAAAGGTCAAAAGGACTTTGACATTATTGTTTTGTATTTTGATTATGTTGTGGCATATTGTGCATTGTTTGTAAGGATGTAATCTACCATAGTGTTCATGTTACAATATAATTGGTGATTTTAGGATACTATCAATTGTTCTATTGAGAGATGTGTTATTGTGTTCTAAGGGTAAAGGGATGTAATAGATTGAGATAATTGTGAGGTCAAGGGAACTCACTCTTCTGTATTAGTTATATTTATAATATTGTTATCTTGAGTGATGTCCCTTGTGTACTTCCTTCCGTCCTTCCGCCCTCTCTGGTATTACCATCATGATGTAGTTAGACCCATTAAATGTGTTATATACAACCACAGGCTTCTGTCGTCAATCTATTATAGGGACAAACTTTCAATTTGGCGCCCCCCTTGAGAGCAAATTTTGAATTTGCACCCCCCCCCCCTCAAACTTTCGATTTGCACCCCCCTCAAACTATTTATAATGCAAAAATGAAACTAAAATGACATTTTAATTTGTTTTTACAACCCATTCTGGCGCCCCCTAAATCGGCGCTCGGGGACATATGTACTCCCTGCCCCCCCCCCCCCCCCCATCGCTACGCCTCTGCAGGAATATTCTTAACAACTTCCCAAAGTTCGACGGCGATGTGACAAGAGGTGTGGTAATGCATAAAAGACACACAGACACACACACACATACATTGCTTTTTATATAGATAGATAGATATAGATATATTAGATTGGATGGATGGATGGATGGATGGATGGACGGACGGACGGACGGACGGACGGACGGACGGACGGACGGACGGATGGATGGACGGATGGATGGATGGATGGATAGATTCGATGTACTGCTATTTAAATAATTATAAAGAAAAGCGTGGGTCGCTTCCAAAAATTTAGTGAAGGTATTTAATACCTTTGCACACCAAACGAAAGCGTAAAATGCGCGTATAATATCGCGGTAATTAGTACTTTATATAGGAAATTTTAATTAATTCTTAAAGGATTAATTAAGCATCCAATTAAGTCAAATTTGATGTAAGATTACATTGTCTTCGGGTCTTGAACCCCTGGCCAAGTTTAAGAGAAATTGGTCGGTTAGAAGTGGTCGAAATTTTGCTCGACAATGTCGATCCATGACGAAGCAGGACAAAAGACAGATAAAAGAACGACAAACAGAGGAATTAGTAAGTTACACGTAAAAGCTTGTAAAAAGCACACGATTAGATAATAAAATACCAGACATTGTCCTTTTAATGTCGATTTAACATTATAGGCCAAACAAGGTTATTCGTAACACTATTATTGTTGCGATGATAGTATGCAATATAGAACATTTTCTTTATTGATTGTTTATTGACAACAAATATAATTTAATAGATACTAGACTAGTTCAAATTAGTCAAATTCCACTCGCTGATTTAGAGATATCTAGATCTAAATCTTTTAATCTAGATTGGTAAGATATGTGGATAAAGATCTGTAAATCTAAATCTAAAATATAAACTAGATTTCTAGAAAAAAATCTGGCATATTTGTATAAGATTGTTCAGACTTCCGTATGCCTAACATAGTTGTAAATTTCTGGACTCAGGAGATTAAAAGTTTGATTTGAATGGGCTAAATATTAAAAATGAACCCACATCACATTCTCAAAGAAGGATACTTATTAGTTCAAGTAAGTAAATTCTGATAGATTATTTATTTATAGACTACATTTAGGGAATATAAGCTCTATAGTAGTTAGAATCTAGTAGTAGTCTATTCGGCCAATTCGGTAGGCCCCTATCCTAATTTATAAAAGCCCAATGTGCGCACATCTCTCTCTCTCTCTCTCTCTTTCTCTGTCCGCAAAAAATTTTCGCCGGACATCACGTCAGAATCGGCAGCGATATATCGAGAATTTTTTACGGACTTTTGTTGAAAATAATATGTTAGATGTTTTAAATGTATAACCACAATTTTACTTAAAGAAGAAAAATAAAAATTAAAGGCGTATTCGAATGTAGAGAAACAGTATTATTTATGCAACCGGAAAAGCATTAATATATGTGAAAAAGAACGCATAAAACTGTGACGTCACTATTGCTTATACATTAACTAATGACGTCATCTGCCGTGTTTAGAATGAAAAGAAATGAACTATTTCATTCTAATTTGATTTAGATCTACGTACACTATGAAATGTATACAATACAATTTTTCCGGCCTAAACTCATAAAATTTATTTTATGTACTAGGCATACTGCCTAGCTTCGCTTAGGTTTTCAAAAACATTTGATAATTTGAATAGTAATTATTAGGTGATGGATGAGGCGTGGAGTGCTTAAATGTAAACAGTAATGCTAATAATTTTAGAGAAGATGTTGTAGGCCTATGTTCTCATCAGCTTTCAGAGAAAGTGTTCGAAAGTACGCAATTTATAACTAAGATGGAAATAGAACTACAGAGGTTCCATGAACAGTATATCTCATAATTTATATTACATTGACTTTTAAAATTAATTTTTTATTTAATTATGATACGTAGCTTAATTAATAACTTATTTTTATCTAAAACAAATGCTATACTTTGTCGTTTTCTGTTTCTGTTTAAAATAGTATACAATTATTTGAAAAATAATTATTTAAAAAGGTTACCTCCCTTGGAAATTAACCGAATGACGTATCTCTGTGTTTACTTTTTTTTTAAACAAACAGTTACTATGCTTATATAAGAAAATACGATATATAAACATATTTAACGACTACAATAGCTTTTTCCGACGGGATTAAAGTTTTTTTGTTACCCTCCAGGGTCGGTCTACGACCTCAAATAATATTAACGGGATCGATCGTCAAATTATTTATATATATCTCATATAAGGAGAATTTCACTCGCGGTCATCTTTTAGCACTGGTCGAGGGCTTTGAGTCTGACCAACAGTTTTTCCATACGGCCTAGTCATCTATAGAAGTGTATGCAAAACATTAGCATGATGTACAGAGGTTAAGTAACGTAAAAATTGTGTTGAAATTACCCTGTTTTTTTCCATAAAATACAAAGATTATATAGGGAAATACGACTGGTCAGTTTTGACCCCTTTGCGAAGTTTTCCCAGATATGCCGAGTTTTTTGTGACACCCCAAGGCGTTCTCCTACCACCTCACGAAATAACAAGGGGGGTCGTCGGAGGAAATTTTTTTTCGTAATAGAGCTCATATTAAGAGAATTTCACTCGCGGTCACATTTTAGCCCTCGTCGAGGGCTTTGAGTGAAACCGACAGTTTTCCCTAAAGGTCAAGCCATTGACCTAAGAGTATGCAAAAATTTAGCCAGATATACTGAGTTTAAGTACCCTAAAGCCTGCGTTGAAATGACCCTCTGTTTTTCCAATAAAATACAAAGATTATATAGGGAAATACAACTGGTCAGTTTTGACCGCTTTACGAAGTTTTCCCAGATATGCCGAGTTTTTTGTGACACCCCAAGGCGTTCTCCTACCACCTCACAAAATTTCAAGGGGGGTCGTCGGAGGAAATTTTTTTTCGTAATAGAGCTCATATAAAGAGAATTTCACTCGCGGTCACTTTTTAGCCCTCGTCGAGGGCTTTGAGTGAAACCGACAGTTTTCCCTAAAGGTCAAGCCATTGACCTAAGAGTATGCAAAAATTTAGCCAGATATACTGAGTTTAAGTACCCTAAAGCCTGCGTTGAAATGACCCTCTGTTTTTCCAATAAAATACAAAGATTATATAGGGAAATACAACTGGTCAGTTTTGACCGCTTTACGAAGTTTTCCCAGATATGCCGAGTTTTTTGTGACACCCCAAGGCGTTCTCCTACCACCTCACAAAATTTCAAGGGGGGTCGTCGGAGGAAATTTTTTTTCGTAATAGAGCTCATATAAAGAGAATTTCACTCGCGGTCACTTTTTAGCCCTCGTCGAGGGCTTTGAGTGAAACCGACAGTTTTCCCTAAAGGTCAAGCCATTGACCTAAGAGTATGCAAAAATTTAGCCAGATATACTGAGTTTAAGTACCCTAAAGCCTGCGTTGAAATGACCCTCTGTTTTTCCAATAAAATACAAAGATTATATAGGGAAATACAACTGGTCAGTTTTGACCCACTTCCCGATTTTTCCGAGATATGCCGAGTTTTTTTTTGACACCCCAAGGCGTTCTCCTACCACCTCACAAAATTTCAAGGGGGGTCGTCGGAGGAAAAAATTTTTCGTAATATAGCTCATATAAAGAGAATTTCACTCGCGGTCACTTTTTAGCCCTCGTCGAGGGCTTTGAGTGAAACTGACAGGTCAGCCGTACGGCCAAGCCATTTACCTATAAACATGCCGAAAATTAGCGAGATGTAAAGAGGGTAAGTGCCCTAAAATCCGTTTTGAAATGACCCTCTGTTTTTCCCATAAAATACAAAGATTATATAGGGAAATACGACTGGTCAGTTTTGACCCACTTCCCGATTTTTCCGAGATATGCCGAGTTTTTTGTGACACCCTTAGGCGTTCTCCTACCACCTCACAAAATTTCAAGGGGGGTCGTCGGAGGAAATTTTTTTTCGTAATATAGCTCATATAAAGAGAATTTCACTCGCGGTCACCTTTTAGCCCTCGTCGAGGGCTATGAGTGAAACCGACATGTCTGCCCTACGGCCAAGCCATTTACCTATAAGCATGCCAAAACTTAGCCAGATGTAAAGAAGGTAAGTGCCCTAAAATCCGTTTTGAAATGACCCTCTGTTTTCCCCATAAAATACAAAGATTATATAGGGAAATACGACTGGTCAGTTTTGACCCCTTTACGAAGTTTTACCAGATATGCCGAGTTTTTTGTGACACCCCAAGGCGTTCTCCTACCACCTCACAAAATATCAAAGGGGGTCGTCGGAGGAAATTTTTTTTCGTAATATAGCCCATATAAGGCGCCGGTCAGTCGAGGTCAGTTTTGACCCCCTCTCCGTATATTTATCGGCCAACCGTCACCGGCCCTCGTGTTCTATCGTCCGAAGGCACCATCGTGCCAAATTTGACGCGCCTGCGGCGCCGGGAAGTGCCCTATCGGGCACTTGACCACTTTGCTTTATATATATAGATTTGGATTCTAGATCTAGAGATTCTAGATCTAGATCTAGACTAAATCTAAATCTACGCAATAACTAGACGTAGACGCTAAGATCTAGATTTAGACTCTAACTTCTCTAAAATCAATTCCAAAAATAAATTTCTATATTAGGACTAAACTATTTCAAGACTTATTTATTTTATACAAAATCTTTGTTTGGAACTGGCTAATTTGGGATAAAAAATTAATTTGAAAGAATAGGCATATTCGCGTAGGTTAAGATTATAAAATACGTGTTTCATTCTCCGTATTTTATAAGGTGCCTAAATAGCGTAGATGTTAGTGTACATTAAACCACGCAGGTGGTGCGGGTTCGAGACACAGCAAGTCAACTTGGTTAATGTATTCTTTTTTATTATGCTCGGGCTAAACTTAAAAAAAAATTCTTTTAGGAATCTAGATCTAGATTGTCGGGTGTCCGATAAGGCACTTCCCGGCGCCGCAGGCGCTTCAAATTTGGCATGATCTTGCCTTGGTGCGACAGAACACGGGGGCCGGTTGGCCGAAAAGTCTACGATGTGGGGGTCAAAACTGACCTCGACTGACCGGTACCTTATATGAGCTATAAATCGAAAAAAAATGTTGAGGTCGTAGACCGACCTTCGGGCGAATTAATTAAGCATTCAAATTCTCAATGTTTTCGAAAGCCTAAGCGAAGCTGGGCAGCATGCCTAGTATTCCTATAATAAAGTATAAATACTATTATACTATATTATATCATTATAGTATAATGATATAATCACTAGATCTAGTGACTAATCACTAATCATAAGTCATAAGTATTACTATTAAAGTAATCAATAATCAAAATTAATCATGCCTAATGAATGATGCCCAATCTCGGTAATCTTTCGCTTTGGCTTTAGGTACGTAAAATCGCCCACGACTTGTAATGTGAAAAACAGGTGACTCCTTAAAATTCAAATTTTAATAATTATTTCACATTTTGAGGAGGATTTATGTTTTTTAAAATACAAAAATGGGTAATCTATCGTTTTGGGTACGTAAAATCGCCCGCGGCTATTAATGTACGAAAACGTTACCTCAATGTCAAGGCTGTAATAGAAGTATATTGTCATATGTTTGTGTCAAATATTATAGATAAATGAATAATAAACCTAAATTGCTAAATCAATAGCTAAATATATCGATGTAGGCCAGAAATTTAAACAGCAGTGTCTGAGATCAAGATTTGCTATATAATAAACAGCAGCCATTTGTAAAATAGAGTGGCTTCCCCTGAATCTCGAGATATAAGCTTATATGTAGTTTTTAATTAGGCCGTAGTATTGTATTTTAAACAATGCTCATTCCGAGCCTTTTTTGTGCTAGATCTAATTAGGCATACTGGCAATTTTTTAGTTTTAGACTTGGTCAACTTCGTTAATGCTGTTGTGTTAGTTAAAAATATAGGAATTGTGTGTAAAATTTACGCAGTTACTCAGTTACTACGTAGAACGATATCAATAAATGAAGTATTAATTTCCTTTTAGCCGTCTTTTGGTACAAAATGTCTAATATTTTATTTACCAATACATCGTGGTGTGGCAGAGTAAACAGAACAGTGTGGTAGATGTCCTAGAATCTCCGAGTTCGAATCCGAAGTAAATCAGTTGTGCTTTATTTTATTTTTTTCACATTTGAAATGCCATGAGTGGTTTTATTTTTCTTTCGTTTTTAAAAATATCAGGCAAGCTTAAAGGACTTTAGGGCATAAACATTTGTTAGTCACTAAGTCAGACACATGAATCTTACGCAATTCTTAGAATCTAATACACACGGCCAAGTTCTCAAACACATGCTTTTTTTTTTTAAAGAAAGTTTTAAAGAGATAGGCCTACCCCTATTTAATTATATATATTTAAATATGCGAAGTTAACATAGGCGTAAAAATATGTTCAAATAAGAGCAAACAAAGATTGTAAACTAGAATCTGAAGGAGTTAAACATTTTTCCCAAAACAAAATCAAAACAAGTGCTACTATTATTAGCATACATATTGGACCTATACATTTTATAGACACACTAGATCTATATCTTGTGCAAGTATAATAAGTGTTCCTTCAATGTTTATTTTATTGAATTTGTAAGAATGATCGATTTTAATATTTAAAAAAAAATATTAGGCCTACATAATTATCATAAAGCACACTAAATCTGAAAAATAGAGTAGGCCTATATAGGCTCACGACATTTGGGGTCACGACATATTGGTTGCCGACAAAAGGGCTCCCAGCATATTTGACATTGTTGTTGTTAAACCTGCTCATCAGTGGCTTGACATTGTTGTTGTTAAACCTGCTCATCAGTGGCTTGACATTGTTGTTGTTAAACCTGCTCATCAGTGGCTTGACATTGTTGTTGTTAAACCTGCTCATCAGTGGCTTGACATTGTTGTTGTTAAACCTGCTCATCAGTGGCTTGACATTGTTGTTAAACCTGCTCATCAGTGGCTTGACATTGTTGTTGTTAAACCTGCTCATCAGTGGCTTGACATTGTTGTTGTTAAACCTGCTCATCAGTGGCTTGACATTGTTGTTGTTAAACCTGCTCATCAGTGGCTTGACATTGTTGTTGTTAAACCTGCTCATCAGTGGCTTGACATTGTTGCTTTCACTTTGTCACAGAACTCCAACAGGAAATGGAAGGCACGTTGGTTTGTACTGAGTGAAGATGAGTTGTCCTGTCAGCACAAGAAAAACAAGTCTATCACCATCAACTCTCTCCCTCTACAAGGAGCATCAGTCATCTCTCCATGTCCACACATTCAGGATTACAATACTCAGGTAAAAATGGTCCGGTAGCCATGGTCAGGTAGCAGTGGTCAGGTAGCCATGGTCAGGTAGCCGTGGTCCGGTAGCCATGGTCAGGTAGCAGTGGTCAGGTAGCCATGGTCCGGTAGCCATGGTCAGGTAGCAGTGGTCAGGTAGCCATGGTCAGATTTTGCCAGTTTGAGCAAACTTTGTGCTGCTTGTGTGTTGGTTTAATGGTAGCAATAAATATTTTGTGCTTTTTATGACCTCTGCATGTGCGGACAACGCCAAGCCCAGCCAACTTTCTGATGTGTACCTGAACTAAGGGGAAGGAAAGGTGTTATGTGCATAGAACTGACCACACTTCATTTGCTGAGGTCACAGAAACATGTGGACTCCATTTCCTCTCTCTTTTAGATCATCACATCCTATTGATAAACTTAACATATTTTGTCCATTATCTTTACCATTTGATCCTCTCTGTGCCTTGAACATTTAGCTGTTGTTTTGTAGGGTCTGTTGAAGCTTCACCTCCCTGATGGGGAAGAGCTGTACTTCCAGGCAGGCGGAGTAGAGGATAGGGATCGCTGGGCCCATGCTTTGGGGGCTGTCATCCGCTCACTTAGTACATCTAAAGAGGTATTGTCATATGTCATTATGGCTAGCTGGCTTTACGGTCAGATCTTGGAACTCAATGTAACCTATTTCCAATACATCAATTGAAGAATATCTGATTTTATTCTAATTCTCTGTCAAATGACACAACAGAAATGAAGCTTGATCACACAAGAGATCACTAAATTACTAATCCTATTTTAAAATAAATAGTTCTAGCAACTAAAAAATAAATAGTTCTAGCATCTAAAAAATAAATAGTTCTAGCAACTAAAAAATAAATAGTTCTAGCAACTAAAAAATAAATAGTTCTAGCATCTAAAAAATAAATAGTTCTAGCAACTAAAAAATAAATACAGGGGTGCCACTTCTCCGGGATATCCCGGATTTCCGGATTCGAGAATCTTATTTTTTTCCCTTTCCGGATTCGCAAGATTTGAGTTTGAAAATTTCCGGGTTTGCAGTTTAAAAAAAAAAATTAAAATTATTTTTAGCTTGAAAATTTTGGCATTGTAAAAATCGTTTTTATCAACACTCCCGCTAATGGCCCTTTCCGAAAAAAAAACGAATAGTAAATGACGTCACTAACAATCTCACGCGTACGCCATGGACCAAATACAAATCGGCTGTATCAGATGGGTGAGGCTGTAGACGGATCTTTTTGATGTCATTCGTAGTGTGGCTGTCTGGCTATTTATGAGAGGTTGGGGGTAAAATTAGCATTTTTTTACGTGACGTCATCAGTGGGCTACCGCTAGGCTGTGTAATAAAAACAACTAAATCATACAATTACAAGATCTAGCTCACTAGCATCGCCGATCGTCTTTAAAAAAAACAAACCAAAGATTTTGCTCCGATCTAAAAAAAATAAATAAATTTCTATTTGGTGTTACCAAAAGAAAAGAAAAAAAAACTATTTGAAGGACTATTTTGTGTATGAAACAGTACTGTGCTGTTTTCACTCAACTTTACCGTCACTTTTTAACACCTCTTACCCGCTTCTTCAAGGTCGCGTTGACCGTAAGACCTACGTCACGAGATCACGCGAGCACAGCCTGAGTCGTGTCTCGCGGTTAAGGCAGTTCTACAATCACAAGCGCTGTTTAATTTTAACGTGGTTATTTTTTAATAAGGGCCTACTTCTAGATTCAAGAGAAAAAAACTAGATCTGCATCGTTTTATATCATTAAACAAAATATGTAGGCCTGTTATAAGTCTGGAAGAAACACTGAGCCGGGTCTAGATCTAATTGGTTTTTTTTTCCACTTTGGTAACACGTCATTGAAATGTTTAAAAAAAACGTGAAGTACCGTGTTTGAGAAAATAGCCGCTATCACTGCCCCCTCCCAACCGCTTGTAAAAAAATCCACTTTTCACTTGGTCGGGCGGCTACATCTCTGACATGAGTATTACTAGCGTAGTTACTTCTAAAATTATTTTTAAAATTAACTTAATTCTGTTATTCCGCGATAAGAACTAACTTAAAACTTCTACGATATTTCTTTACGTCATCATGTATATCATAGGTGGGGACATTGGGGTCGTCCATAAATGACGTCACACTCGTAGCGGGAGGTCCGTAATTTTGTGATGAGGGGAGGGGGTGGGGTTCAGATGGTGTGACATCACACTTTTGCATTATCAAAAAGCTTTGTTAGAAAACGAAATTTAGCCGTTATTTTGCGTTTTAGAATATTGTTTCAATAAAGTGTAATAGGAATTGATTAAAATACTCTATGTTGACAGAGTTCAGACAAGATTTTGGAAAAATATCGTATTTTAAGAAAAATTCGACTGCAATTTTTAAGGGGGGGGGGGTTGTTGGCTAACGTGTGACGTCATTTTAGATGGCGGGGTCTGGTTTTTTGTTACGAAATGTGACCAAGGGGAGGTAGGAGGTAAAAATCGTCGAAAAAAAGCGTGACATCATTTGTGGATGACCCCATTGGTGGTTGATTGGGAAAACATGGTTTTAGGTTTTTGTTGTGGCTGTTAATAATTAAAGCCTTGATTAGCTACAGTAAGTCAACCTGTATTTAATACAGTGACAATCTCATTGGGGGTCTGCATATAGTGGGCTTATTATTCAGTAACAAGACGTAGAGGTTAGCAAAATATTTGTTACTTAACAGTTGGCTGACTTCACACTTTAAATCAAGCTAGGAAGCTCAAAAAATTTAAATACAGTTATATTATAAAAGCTGGCAGGGGGGGGGGGGGTTCTACAATAGCACATTATGGGGTAGGCCTAGAGATGGGACTAACATTGTAAATTAATTTTGTTGTATGCACAATCCGTTAAAGATTAATTTTTATTTGAAGCTTATCACAAAGAAAATAAATCCATTTTAAAGGAATGTAAATTGAACATAATATGAATCAAATGTCTAAAAAAATAATGAAATAATAGTCCATTTTATTTTGAAATTCTGCGCGAAATTAACTTTCAGGGTTTCAAAAATTTCAAATTTTAGTTTCAGGATTGGTAAAATTTTTTGATTCATTTTCAGGATTCACTTGAAAAATGAGTGGCACCCCTGTAAATAGTTCTAGCAACTAAAAAATAAATAGTTCTAGCAACTAAATAATAAATAGTTCTAGCAACTAAAAAATAAATAGTTCTAGCAACTAAAAAATAAATAGTTCTAGCAACTAAAAAATAAATAGTTCTAGCAACTAAAAAATAAATAGTTCTAGCAACTAAATAATAAATAGTTCTAGCAACTAAAAAATAAATAGTTCTAGCAACTAAAAAATAAATAGTTCTAGCAACTAAAAAATAAATAGTTCTAGCAACTAAAAAATAAATAGTTCTAGCAACTAAAAAATAAATAGTTCTAGCAACTAAATAATAAATAGTTCTAGCAACTAAAAAATAAATAGTTCTAGCAACTAAAAAATAAATAGTTCTAGCAACTAAAAAATAAATAGTTCTAGCAACCAAAAAATAAATAGTTTTTGCAACTAAAAAATAAATAGTTCTAGTAACTATAAAAGCGTATTATATCTGCTCATTTCTCAAGACCTTTTTTTTTTACAGATAATTCATGACAAAATGGCATTTCAAGATTTTCATACCTTTGCGAATGTTAGGTGGGACATTTTTCATATTATAAAGTTTCTAGACATGTCTTTCTCTTGTTATTATCCTGTGTGCTGTAAAATATGTTCACTGTTGTAACTAATGTCCACTGTTGTCACTACTAATGTCCACTGTTGTCACTAATGTCCACTGTTGTCACTAATGTCCAATGTCCACTTTTGTCACTAATGTCCACTTTTGTCACTAATGTCCACTTTTGTCACTAATGTCCACTTTTGTCTCTAATGTCCAATGTCCACTGTTGTCACTAATGTCCAATGTCCACTTTTGTCACTAATGTCCACTTTTGTCACTAATGTCCAATGTCCACTGTTGTCACTAATGTCCAATGTCCACTGTTGTCACTAATGTCCACTGTTGTCAATAATGTCCACTTTTGTCACTAATGTCCAATGTCCACTGTTGTCACTAATGTCCAATGTCCACTGTTGTCACTAATGTCCACTGTTGTCACTAATGTCCACTGTTGTCACTAATGTCCACTGTTGTCACTAATGTCCAATGTCCACTTTTGTCACTAATGTCCAATGTCCACTGTTGTCACTAATGTCCACTGTTGTCACTAATGTCCACTGTTGTCACTAATGTCCACTGTTGTCACTAATGTCCACTTTTGTCACTAATGTCCAATGTCCACTTTTGTCACTAATGTCCAATGTCCACTGTTGTCACTAATGTCCAATGTCCACTTTTGTCACTAATGTCCACTTTAGTCACTAATGTCCAATGTCTACTTTTGTCACTAATGTCCAATGTCCACTTTTGTCACTTATGTCCAATGTCCACTGTTGTCACTAATGTCCAATGTCCACTTTTGTCACTAATGTCCAATGTCCACTGTTGTCACTAATGTCCACTTTTGTCACTAATGTCCACTGTTGTCACTAATGTCCACTGTTGTCACTAATGTCCAATGTCCACTTTTGTCACTTATGTCCAATGTCCACTGTTGTCACTAATGTCCAATGTCCACTTTTGTCACTAATGTCCAATGTCCACTTTTGTCACTAATGTCCACTTTTGTCACTAATGTCCACTGTTGTCACTAATGTCCACTTTTGTCACTAATGTCCAATGTCCACTTTTGTCACTAATGTCCAATGTCCACTTTTGTCACTAATGTCCAATGTCCACTTTTGTCACTAATGTCCAATGTCCACTTTTGTCACTAATGTCCAATGTCCACTTTTGTCACTAATGTCCACTGTTGTCACTAATGTCCACTTTTGTCACTAATGTCCAATGTCCACTTTTGTCACTAATGTCCAATGTCCACTTTTGTCACTAATGTCCAATGTCCACTTTTGTCACTAATGTCCACTGTTGTCACTAATGTCCTCTTTTGTCACTAATGTCCAATGTCCACTGTTGTCACTAATGTCCAATGTCCACTGTTGTCACTAATGTCCACTTTTGTCACTAATGTCCACTGTTGTCTCTAATGTCCAATGTCCACTTTTGTCACTAATGTCCACTTTTGTCACTAATGTCCACAGTTGTCACTAATGTCCACTAATGTCCACTGTTGTCACTAATGTCCACTGTTGTCACTAATGTCCAATGTCCACTTTTGTCACTTATGTCCAATGTCCACTGTTGTCACTAATGTCCAATGTCCACTTTTGTCACTAATGTCCAATGTCCACTTTTGTCACTAATGTCCACTTTTGTCACTAATGTCCACTGTTGTCACTAATGTCCACTTTTGTCACTAATGTCCAATGTCCACTTTTGTCACTAATGTCCAATGTCCACTTTTGTCACTAATGTCCAATGTCCACTTTTGTCACTAATGTCCAATGTCCACTTTTGTCACTAATGTCCAATGTCCACTTTTGTCACTAATGTCCACTGTTGTCACTAATGTCCACTTTTGTCACTAATGTCCAATGTCCACTTTTGTCACTAATGTCCAATGTCCACTTTTGTCACTAATGTCCAATGTCCACTTTTGTCACTAATGTCCACTGTTGTCACTAATGTCCTCTTTTGTCACTAATGTCCAATGTCCACTGTTGTCACTAATGTCCAATGTCCACTGTTGTCACTAATGTCCACTTTTGTCACTAATGTCCACTGTTGTCTCTAATGTCCAATGTCCACTTTTGTCACTAATGTCCACTTTTGTCACTAATGTCCACAGTTGTCACTAATGTCCACTAATGTCCACTGTTGTCACTAATATCCACTTTTGTCACTTATGTCCAATGTCCACTGTTGTCACTAATGTCCACTGTTGTCACTAATGTCCACTGTTGTCACTAATGTCCAATGTCCACTGTTGTCACTAATGTCCAATGTCCACTTTTGTCACTAATGTCCAATGTCCACTTTTGTCACTAATGTCCACTGTTGTCACTAATGTCCTCTTTTGTCACTAATGTCCAATGTCCACTTTAGTCACTAATGTCCACTGTTGTCACTAATGTCCAATGTCCACAGTTGTCACTAATGTCCACTTTTATCACTAATGTCCACTGTTGTCTCTAATGTCCAATGTCCACTGTTGTCACTAATGTCCACTTTTGTCACTAATGTCCACTGTTGTCACTAATGTCCACTGTTGTCACTAATGTCCACTGTTGTCACTAATGTCCACTGTTGTCACTAATGTCCACTGTTGTCACTAATGTCCACTGTTGTCACTAATGTCCACTGTTGTCACTAATGTCCACTGTTGTCACTAATGTCCACTTTAGTCACTAATGTCCACTTTAGTCACTAATGTCCAATGTCCACTTTAGTCACTAATGTCCAATGTCCACTTTTGTCACTAATGTCCACTTTTGTCACTAATGTCCACTTTAGTCACTAATGTCCACTGTTGTCACTAATGTCCAATGTCCACTTTTGTCACTAATGTCCACTTGTCACTAATGTCCACTGTTGTCACTAATGTCCAATGTCCACTTTTGTCACTAATGTCCACTTTTGTCACTAATGTCCACTTGTCACTAATGTCCACTTTAGTCACTAATGTCCACTGTTGTCACTAATGTCCAATGTCCACTTTTGTCACTAATGTCCACTTGTCACTAATGTCCACTGTTGTCACTAATGTCCAATGTCCACTTTTGTCACTAATGTCCACTTTTGTCACTAATGTCCACTTGTCACTAATGTCCACTTTAGTCACTAATGTCCACTGTTGTCACTAATGTCCAATGTCCACTTTTGTCACTAATGTCCACTTTAGTCACTAATGTCCACTGTTGTCACTAATGTCCACTAATGTCCACTTTTGTCACTAATGTCCACTTTAGTCACTAATGTCCACTTTAGTCACTAATGTCCACTGTTGTCACTAATGTCCACTTTTGTCACTAATGTCCACTTTAGTCACTAATGTCCACTGTTGTCACTAATGTCCAATGTCCACTTTTGTCACCAATGTCCACTGTTGTCACTAATGTCCACTGTTGTCACTAATGTCCACTGTTGTCTCTAATGTCCAATGTCCACTTTAGTCACTAATGTCCACTGTTGTCACTAATGTCCAATGTCCACTTTTGTCACTAATGTCCACTTGTCACTAATGTCCACTGTTGTCACTAATGTCCACTTTTGTCACTAATGTCCACTTTAGTCACTAATGTCCACTTTAGTCACTAATGTCCACTTTAGTCACTAATGTCCACTTTTGTCACTAATGTCCACTTTTGTCACTAATGTCCACTTTAGTCACTAATGTCCACTGTTGTCACTAATGTCCAATGTCCACTTTTGTCACCAATGTCCACTGTTGTCACTAATGTCCACTGTTGTCACTAATGTCCACTGTTGTCTCTAATGTCCAATGTCCACTTTAGTCACTAATGTCCACTGTTGTCACTAATGTCCAATGTCCACTTTTGTCACCAATGTCCACTGTTGTCACTAATGTCCACTGTTGTCACTAATGTCCACTTGTCACTAATGTCCACTGTTGTCACTAATGTCCACTGTTGTCACTAATGTCCACTGTTGTCTCTAATGTCCAATGTCCACTTTTGTCACTAATGTCCACTTTTGTCATTAATGTCCACTGTTGTCACTAATGTCCACTAATGTCCACTGTTGTCACTAATATCCACTTTTGTCACTAATGTCCAATGTCCACTGTTGTCACTAATGTCCACTGTTGTCACTAATGTCCACTGTTGTCACTAATGTCCACTTTTGTCACTAATGTCCAATGTCCACTTTTGTCACTAATGTCCAATGTCCACTTTTGTCACTAATGTCCAATGTCCACTTTTGTCACTAATGTCCACTGTTGTCACTAATGTCCTCTTTTGTCACTAATGTCCAATGTCCACTTTTGTCACTAATGTCCACTTTTATCACTAATGTCCACTGTTGTCTCTAATGTCCAATGTCCACTTTTGTCACTAATGTCCACTTTTGTCACTAATGTCCACTGTTGTCACTAATGTCCACTGTTGTCACTAATATCCACTTTTGTCACTAATGTCCACTTTAGTCACTAATGTCCACTTTAGTCACTAATGTCCAATGTCCACTTTAGTCACTAATGTCCAATGTCCACTTTTGTCACTAATGTCCACTTTTGTCACTAATGTCCACTTTAGTCACTAATGTCCAATGTCCACTTTTGTCACTAATGTCCACTTTTGTCACTAATGTCCACTTTAGTCACTAATGTCCAATGTCCACTTTTGTCACTAATGTCCACTTGTCACTAATGTCCACTGTTGTCACTAATGTCCACTTGTCACTAATGTCCACTTGTCACTAATGTCCACTGTTGTCACTAATGTCCACTTTTGTCACTAATGTCCACTTTTGTCACTAATGTCCACTTTAGTCACTAATGTCCTATGTCCACTTTTGTCACTAATGTGGGGTTCGGCGTGGTCGAGTCGGTAAAGATCATGGTTGCTAAACCGAAAAGTACTCGAGTTCGAACCCTCGGGCAGATGCGGCTCTTTAGCTTGGGACAGCTACTCTTCTAGGAGAGACAACTCCAAAATAAAACAACTGCTGCCTTGTAGTTTGTTCTTGGTTGGACAAAGGCTATGGAAGCAAATCCAAAAAAAAAAGCAGGCTGAAATCGGAGTCAATGGCCTCAATGGCGCATAACCAGTTGACACGTAACGCTTAATTGTGTTGGAGGCGTGGTCGAGTCGGCAAAAAGCTCATGGTTGATAAATCGAACAAAGTCTCGAGTTCAAACCCACTGGCAGATAAATCTCGATCCCCTTCAACACTAATAATTAAGAACGAAGAAGAAGAAGAAGTCACTAATGTCCACTTTAGTCACTAATGTCCAATGTCCACTTTTGTCACTAATGTCCACCATGTTCAAACAAAGTACTGTTGTACCTTGTAGTGAAATTATTGGAGCCATCCAAGATCCAGATGCAGGCATTGAATCAGCCAATCACTTGCGAGGAGGAGTTGTCTTCAAAAATTGTTTTACAGGTTTGTCACTTACCCCAGCATACAAAGTAAAACAACCAAATAATAGAGTTAAAAAACCAAATGATATACAGAGTAAAACAACCAAATAATAGAGTTAAAAAACCAAATGATAGAGTTAAAAAACCAAATGATAGAGTTAAAAAATCAAATGATATACAGAGTTAAAAAACCAAATGATATACAGAGTTAAAAAATCAAATGATATACAGAGTTAAAAAATCAAATGATATACAGAGTTAAAAATCAAATGATATAGTCCTATAGAGTTAAAGCCAACAGAATGTTTGTTTTTTTAAGGGAAGGCAATAGTTGATTGGCTTCTGCGTTGGTCACTTGTGAGAAACCGTGGCAACGGATCAGCTATGGGCCAAGCTTTGTTGAAGTTGGGTCATGTCCAAGAGGTGGATCTAAAGGATGGAACTAGTGGCATCAGTCCCAGGTTTAATGATAATGACAAGCTCTACAGATTTGTAAGTCACAGTCATCTGATGTCTGTCATCTCATGTCTGTCTCTGTCATCTGCTAATAACTGCTACCCCATTTGTAACTTCATCTTTTTATGTAGCACTAGTATGGCGTAATATTTTAAGGGGGTTTCATCATCGCGTTACTAATATTATATTCTTAGACGTGTGACCTTGTTTTCTAAAACTGAGTTATTTAAATGTAAATAATGCCTGCGCTTGGATCATATTTATCGGGGCATGGGTTTACCTACATTACAGCATAAAAGCCTTGAGTGCATGTTAATAACTCACTGTAATAGTGAGATAGATCACACTGGATGGAGGTGAATGCATCTGATTTAATTTAGTGAGCAACTATAATGCCCCATCTAATCCATTGTCTATCGCACTGTTTAGAACGAACGTAGGCGCCATTGCACTCATGGGAAAGTACAGGTGAGGGCGCCAGGGGATGCGCCTGGTTCAAAATAGTCAACGATATAGTAGTATCACTTACCTGTTGTAGTTTAACAGCTGAATATAGTAGTATCACTTACCTGTTGTAGTTTTACAGCTGAATATAGTAGTTTCACTTACTTGTTGCAGTTTTATAGCTGAATATAGTAGTATCACTTACCCGCTATGCAAGATAAACTGATGCCAAGTGCTAACATAGCCGCTCTGGAACTCTGGGTGCCAAATAGCGTGTTGATGAAAATCGTACCCTCCCGGGCGCCGCCCATTACAAGTTTGAATTATTTTGTTCACAGAAACCTCAGGAGTATTTCCATTACCTCCCCAAAGTTTCATGACACTCTAATGAATAGTGTCAAACCGCATCCGACTTTTCTTTTTTTATATATACCCTATATATAGAAGAATTGAATCGTGCCCTACCGGGATAACACTCTTGTGAACTTAAAAATTTTTTTTATATATTCTCAACAACTTCCCAAAGTTTCATGGTGATGTGATAAAAGGTGTAGTAATGCATAATTGATAGACAGACAGACAAACAGACAGACATACATTGTTTTTTATATATATAGATAGATATACCGTATCTATAGAAAAATTGCTCCCTTCCGGGGTGCCACCCTTGCAAAACTAAGAGATATTTTTGCAGCAATCTCCCCTGGAGTGTTCATATCGATTACACAAACTTTGACAGCGATTGGATGAACGGTGTGAATCCGCAATTGACTTTCTATCCATAAGAGCAGATTTGGTCCATCCATCCCCAGACATCCATCAACTTGGGGGCCAAGCGCAACAGTTTTTATTTTGGTCCATCCATCCCCAGACATCCATCAACTTGGGGGCCAAGCGCAACAGTTTTTATTTTGGTCCATCCATCCCCAGACATCCATCAACTTGGGGGCCAAGCGCAACAGTTTTTATTTTGGTCCATCCATCCCCAGACATCCATCAACTTGGGGGCCAAGCGCAACAGTTTTTATTTTGGTCCATCCATCCCCAGACATCCATCAACTTGGGGGCCAAGCGCAACAGTTTTTATTTTGGTCCATCCATCCCCAGACATCCATCAACTTGGGGGCCAAGCGCAACAGTTTTTATTTTGGTCCATCCATCCCCAGACATCCATCAACTTGGGGGCCAAGCGCAACAGTTTTTATTTTGGTCCATCCATCCCCAGACATCCATCAACTTGGGGGCCAAGCGCAATAGTTTTTATTTTGGTCCATCCATCCCCAGACATCCATCAACTTGGGGGCCAAGCGCAACATTTTTTTTTTTGGTCCATCCATCCCCAGACATCCATCAACTTGGGGGCCAAGCGCAACAGTTTTTATGACAGTACAGACAGTGATTCAAGCTCCTCAGAAGATGAAGATGATGATGTTGACAAAGAGGAGCAAAAGATGAAGAAAGGAAAAGCTCTGAAAGATGCTTTTCTTGCAAAGAAGGTTGGTAGAAAACCAAGTTGCTGCTAGAAGTTTCCAACTGAGTAGATAAAGTAGAGTTGACTTGTTTCAGTGACCTCACCATAGGAGGGTTAGTGTGGGCAACTCCCTGCCTAGTGTCAGTTATTTCTAACTCAGGTGAACTCACTGTAAGCCTAGACCCTGTCTTGTTTGTAGGGAAAAAAATATGATGCTGGTCATTTTTAATAGCAGTCTAGGCATCAGCATGTAGCTTGACTACTACCAACATGATTAGTTAACTTCAAATTATTTTTTAGGCTTGTTTCCAAAACATTTATCTAATTTTAATTTAAGGTGTTCTGGTCAACCTTGGTCCCCCCTTCAAGTGAACTAAAATATCAAAATTAGATTCATTAGTGTTGTGGGTGTGTCCACTCATTAGTATTGTGGGTGTGTCCAGTCATTAGTATTGTGGGTGTGTCCAGTCATTAGTATTGTGGGTGTGTTCACTCATTAGTATTGTGGGTGTGTCCACTCAATAGTGTTGTGGGTGTGTCCACTCAATAGTGTTTTGGGTGTGTCCACTCATTAATATTGTGGGTGTGTCCACTCATTAATATTGTGGGTGTGTCCACTCATTAGTATTGTGGGTGTGTCCACTTATTAGTGTTGTGGGTGTGTCCACTCATTAGTATTGTGGGTGTGTCCACTAAGTCATGTGTGATAATTGCTGTGACAGCACACTAAGGTTCTTCATGTGGTGGTGACACAAACTGAAATGACCTGACCAACTGACCTGTAGTACAAACTGAAATGACCTAACCAACTGACCTGTAGTACAAACTGAAATGACCTGACCAACTGACCTGTAGTACAAACTGAAATGACCTAACCAACTGACCTGTAGTACAAACTGAAATGACCTGACCTGTAGTACAAACTGAAATGACCTGACCAACTGACCTGTAGTACAAACTGAAATGACCTGACCTGTAGTACAAACTGAAATGACCTAACCAACTGACCTGTAGTACAAACTGAAATGACCTAACCAACTGACCTATTTGCTACTTTGTTTACAGAAACATATCAGGAAAGGCTGGAGAGTGATGAAGGTCATTGTGAGGGAGTCTCCGCCTTCTCTACAGTATTACAGGGCCAAGTATGCTGCAGTAAGTCTTCTGTGGGGAGGGGGGAAGCTCAAGTACTCAAGTAGCTGCATGGGGGGGGGGGGGGGGGGCCTAAAATACTCAAGTATAGCTGCATAAGGGGGGGGCCTAAAATACTCAAGTATTGCTGCATAAGGGGGGGGGCCTAAAATACTCAAGTATTGCTGCATAAGGGGGGGGGGCCTAAAATACTCAAGTATTGCTGCATAAGGGGGGGGGGGCCTAAAATACTCAAGTATTGCTGCATAAGGGGGGGGGGGCTAAAATACTCAAGTATTGCTGCATAAGGGGGGGGGGGGCTAAAATACTCAAGTATTGCTGCATAAGGGGGGGGGCCTAAAATACTCAAGTATTGCTGCATAAGGGGGGGGCCTAAAATACTCAAGTATTGCTGCATAAGGGGGGGCCTAAAATACTCAAGTATTGCTGCATAAGGGGGGGGGGGCCTAAAATACTCAAGTATTGCTGCATAAGGGGGGGGGCCTAAAATACTCAAGTATTGCTGCATAAGGGGGGGGGGGGCTAAAATACTCAAGTATTGCTGCATAAGGGGGGGGGGCCTAAAATACTCAAGTATTGCTGCATAAGGGGGGGGCCTAAAATACTCAAGTATTGCTGCATAAGGGGGGGCCTAAAATACTCAAGTATTGCTGCATAAGGGGGGGCTAAAATACTCAAGTATTGCTGCATAAGGGGGGGGGGGGGGGCTAAAATACTCAAGTATTGCTGCATAAGGGGGGGGGCCTAAAATACTCAAGTATTGCTGCATAAGGGGGGGGGGGCCTAAAATACTCAAGTATTGCTGCATAAGGGGGGGCCTAAAATACTCAAGTATTGCTGCATAAGGGGGGGCCTAAAATACTCAAGTATTGCTGCATAAGGGGGGGCCTAAAATACTCAAGTATTGCTGCATAAGGGGGGGCTAAAATACTCAAGTATTGCTGCATAAGGGGGGGGGGGGCTAAAATACTCAAGTATTGCTGCATAAGGGGGGGGGCCTAAAATACTCAAGTATTGCTGCATAAGGGGGGGGGCCTAAAATACTCAAGTATTGCTGCATAAGGGGGGGCCTAAAATACTCAAGTATTGCTGCATAAGGGGGGGCCTAAAATACTCAAGTATTGCTGCATAAGGGGGGGCCTAAAATACTCAAGTATTGCTGCATGGGGGGGGGGCCTAAAATACTCAAGTATTGCTGCATAAGGGGGGCCTAAAATACTCAAGTATTGCTGCATAAGGGGGGGGCCTAAAATACTCAAGTATTGCTGCATAAGGGGGGGGCCTAAAATACTCAAGTATTGCTGCATAAGGGGGGGGGGGCTAAAATACTCAAGTATTGCTGCATAAGGGGGGGGGGGGGCCTAAAATACTCAAGTATTGCTGCATAAGGGGGGGGGGCCTAAAATACTCAAGTATTGCTGCATAAGGGGGGGGCCTAAAATACTCAAGTATTGCTGCATAAGGGGGGGGGGGGGCTAAAATACTCAAGTATTGCTGCATAAGGGGGGGGGGGGGCTAAAATACTCAAGTATTGCTGCATAAGGGGGGGGGGCCTAAAGTACTCAAGTATTGCTGCATAAGGGGGGGGCCTAAAATACTCAAGTATTGCTGCATGGGGGGGGGCCTAAAATACTCAAGTATTGCTGCATAAGGGGGGGGGGGGGCTAAAATACTCAAGTATTGCTGCATAAGGGGGGGGGGGGCCTAAAATACTCAAGTATTGCTGCATAAGGGGGGGCCTAAAATACTCAAGTATTGCTGCATAAGGGGGGGGCCTAAAATACTCAAGTATTGCTGCATAAGGGGGGGCCTAAAATACTCAAGTATTGCTGCATGGGGGGGGGGGCCTAAAATACTCAAGTATTGCTGCATAAGGGGGGGGGGGGGCCTAAAATACTCAAGTATTGCTGCATAAGGGGGGGGGCCTAAAATACTCAAGTATTGCTGCATAAGGGGGGCCTAAAATACTCAAGTATTGCTGCATGGGGGGGGGGGCCTAAAATACTCAAGTATTGCTGCATAAGGGGGGGGGCCTAAAATACTCAAGTATTGCTGCATAAGGGGGGGGGGCCTAAAATACTCAAGTATTGCTGCATGGGGGGGGGGCCTAAAATACTCAAGTATTGCTGCATAAGGGGGGGGCCTAAAATACTCAAGTATTGCTGCATAAGGGGGGGCCTAAAATACTCAAGTATTGCTGCATAAGGGGGGGGGGGCCTAAAATACTCAAGTATTGCTGCATAAGGGGGGGCCTAAAATACTCAAGTATTGCTGCATAAGGGGGGGGGGGGCTAAAATACTCAAGTATTGCTGCATAAGGGGGGGGGCTAAAATACTCAAGTATTGCTGCATGGGGGGGGGGGGGGCCTAAAATACTCAAGTATTGCTGCATAAGGGGGGCCTAAAATACTCAAGTATTGCTGCATAAGGGGGGGGGCCTAAAATACTCAAGTATTGCTGCATAAGGGGGGGGGGCCTAAAATACTCAAGTATTGCTGCATAAGGGGGGGCTTAAAATACTCAAGTATTGCTGCATAAGGGGGGGGGGCCTAAAATACTCAAGTATTGCTGCATGGGGGGGGGGCCTAAAATACTCAAGTATTGCTGCATAAGGGGGGGCCTAAAATACTCAAGTATTGCTGCATAAGGGGGGGCCTAAAATACTCAAGTATTGCTGCATAAGGGGGGGGCCTAAAATACTCAAGTATTGCTGCATAAGGGGGGGCCTAAAATACTCAAGTATTGCTGCATAAGGGGGGGGGGCCTAAAATACTCAAGTATTGCTGCATAAGGGGGGGGCCTAAAATACTCAAGTATTGCTGCATAAGGGGGGGGGGCCTAAAATACTCAAGTATTGCTGCATAAGGGGGGGGGCCTAAAATACTCAAGTATTGCTGCATAAGGGGGGGGGGGCCTAAAATACTCAAGTATTGCTGCATGGGGGGGGGGGGGGGCCTAAAATACTCAAGTATTGCTGCATAAGGGGGGGGGGGCCTAAAATACTCAAGTATTGCTGCATGGGGGGGGGCCTAAAATACTCAAGTATTGCTGCATAAGGGGGGGGGGCCTAAAATACTCAAGTATTGCTGCATAAGGGGGGGGCCTAAAATACTCAAGTATTGCTGCATAAGGGGGGGGGCCTAAAATACTCAAGTATTGCTGCATAAGGGGGGGCCTAAAATACTCAAGTATTGCTGCATGGGGGGGGGGGGCCTAAAATACTCAAGTATTGCTGCATAAGGGGGGGGGGCTAAAATACTCAAGTATTGCTGCATAAGGGGGGGGCCTAAAATACTCAAGTATTGCTGCATAAGGGGGGGCCTAAAATACTCAAGTATTGCTGCATGGGGGGGGGGGCCTAAAATACTCAAGTATTGCTGCATAAGGGGGGGGGGCCTAAAATACTCAAGTATTGCTGCATAAGGGGGGGGGCCTAAAATACTCAAGTATTGCTGCATGGGGGGGGGGGGCGGCCTAAAATACTCAAGTATTGCTGCATAAGGGGGGGGGGGCCTAAAATACTCAAGTATTGCTGCATAAGGGGGGGCCTAAAATACTCAAGTATTGCTGCATAAGGGGGGGCCTAAAATACTCAAGTATTGCTGCATAAGGGGGGGGGCCTAAAATACTCAAGTATTGCTGCATGGGGGGGGGCCTAAAATACTCAAGTATTGCTGCATAAGGGGGGGGGGGCCTAAAATACTCAAGTATTGCTGCATAAGGGGGGGGGGCCTAAAATACTCAAGTATTGCTGCATAAGGGGGGGGCCTAAAATACTCAAGTATTGCTGCATAAGGGGGGGCCTAAAATACTCAAGTATTGCTGCATAAGGGGGGTGTAACGGACACCTATCTACCAGCCAGATAGATGGTGAACGCCCCCGGATTCTTTTTTTGGGGTTATATGCAAATGACTTAAAGCCTAAATGAATGAACACTAACTCAACAACACAATAGGGCTCGATTTCGATGTCTAGGGAAAACTAGTGATACTATTGAAGTTAACAACTCATTCAATCTGCATACAACCTTTAATAAGCGAACACAGTTGTGGCAGAACACTAGGTTAAACGAGATAAAATATTTAATTTAGAAAATAACAAAACCCAACTTACAAAGCGTAAGAAAAAATACTATCACAGATTCTAACACTGTATAAAAATAACCACAGGTCACATAACACTGCTATAGCATCAAGAATCACTTGGCGACAAGTAATATAATACTAGAATACTAAAACAACTTAAGAAAGCATAGCACACTCAGGACTTAAGTTCTCTCACGTTCAAATGGTCAGAATGAATTGCCGGACAAAATGGACGGCCTGGTCAAGATGGACTGCCTCGTGCTGCCTGTGTGCGATCTAGTTAAAGACTTAGGCAACAGGGGAGATTATCCTCAACTCATGTAGCCATTGGTTGGGGTGGTCATCTGATCTGAATCAATCAATCAGATCTTGATGGAAAATTTCTTAGTCTTAGACACTCTTAGTAAGACAGTGGAAAAAACCCGGTTGTTGCACCATCAACCATATATGGTATTATAACAATGTTAAACTAAAACATTACTAGACCTAAGTAGGTCACAGGGGGGGGGGCCTAAAATACTCAAGTATTGCTGCATAAGGGGGGGGGCCTAAAATACTCAAGTATTGCTGCATAAGGGGGGGGGGCCTAAAATACTCAAGTATTGCTGCATAAGGGGGGGGCCTAAAATACTCAAGTATTGCTGCATAAGGGGGGGGGGGGCTAAAATACTCAAGTATTGCTGCATAAGGGGGGGGGGGGGCTAAAATACTCAAGTATTGCTGCATAAGGGGGGGGGCCTAAAATACTCAAGTATTGCTGCATAAGGGGGGGGGGCCTAAAATACTCAAGTATTGCTGCATAAGGGGGGGGGGCCTAAAATACTCAAGTATTGCTGCATAAGGGGGGGGGGCCTAAAATACTCAAGTATTGCTGCATAAGGGGGGGGGCCTAAAATACTCAAGTATTGCTGCATAAGGGGGGGGGGGCCTAAAATACTCAAGTATTGCTGCATAAGGTGGGGGGGCCTAAAATACTCAAGTATTGCTGCATAAGGGGGGGGGGGCCTAAAATACTCAAGTATTGCTGCATAAGGGGGGGGGCCTAAAATACTCAAGTATTGCTGCATAAGGGGGGGGGGCCTAAAATACTCAAGTATTGCTGCATAAGGGGGGGGGGGCCTAAAATACTCAAGTATTGCTGCATAAGGGGGGAGGGCCTAAAATACTCAAGTATTGCTGCATAAGGGGGGGGGGCCTAAAATACTCAAGTATTGCTGCATGGGGGTAAGTATGCTGCAGTTTGTCATCTGTGGAAGGGGGGTTGCTGAAACCAGTAAGCTCTGGGGGGGGGGGGGGCAAGTTATCTAACATCTTTTGCTGCAGATGTTTAGTGTCTTGAGTTTAATCTCCCATCAGATAACTACAGAGGAAAAATTCCCCACAAAAACCTTTCTCTTGGACTCGTGTAAAGTAATGGAGATCATCAAACCACCCAGTTCTAAAGGTTGGTTACTGACCTCTCTCACTGACATGTAGATTCTAAAGGTTGGTTACTGACCTCTCTCACTGACATGTAGATTTGTAACATGAGGTGAGTAATGGAGATCATCAAACCAGCCAGTTCTAAAGGTTGGTTACTGACCTCTCTCACTGACATTTAGATTTGTAACATGAGGTGAGTAATGGAGATCATCAAACCAGCCAGTTCTAAAGGTTGGTTACTGACCTCTCTCACTGACATGTAGATTCTAAAGGTTGGTTACTGACCTCTCTCACTGACATTTGGATTCTAAAGGTTGGTTACTGACCTCTCTCACTGACATGTAGATTTGTAACATGAGGTGAGTAATGGAGATCATCAAACCACCCAGTTCTAAAGGTTGGTTACTGACCTCTCTCACTGACATTTAGATTCTAAAGGTTGGTTACTGACCTCTCTCACTGACATTTAGATTCTAAAGGTTGGTTACTGACCTCTCTCACTGACATTTAGATTTGTAACATGAGGTGAGTAATGGAGATCATCAAACCAGCCAGTTCTAAAGGTTGGTTACTGACCTCTCTCACTGACATTTAGATTCTAAAGGTTGGTTACTGACCTCTCTCACTGACATTTAGATTCTAAAGGTTGGTTACTGACCTCTCTCACTGACATTTAGATTCTAAAGGTTGGTTACTGACCTCTCTCACTGACATTTGGATTCTAAAGGTTGGTTACTGACCTCTCTCACTGACATTTGGATTTGTAACATGAGGTCATAAGTGGATGGTAGATCACTGACATTTAGATTTGTAAAAACTGAGTGTACAAATGAATCTGATGAAGTTGAACTAATTGTGTGTACAAATGAAACTGATGAAGTTGAAAAAATTCTGTGTACAAATGAAACTGATGAAGTTGAACTAATTGAGTGTACAAATGAAACTGATGAATGAAGTTGAACTAATTGAGTGTACAAATGAAACTGATGAAGTTGAACTGATTGAGTGTACAAATGAAACTGATGAAGTTGAACTAATTGAGTGTACAAATGAAACTGATGAATGAAGTTAACTAATTGAGTGTACAAATGAAACTGATGAATGAAGTTGAACTAATTGAGTGTACAAATGAAACTGATGAAGTTGAACTGATTGAGTGTACAAATGAAACTGATGAAGTTGAACTAATTGAGTGTACAAATGAAACTGATGAATGAAGTTGAACTAATTGAGTGTACAAATGAAACTGATGAATGAAGTTGAACTAATTGAGTGTACAAATGAAACTGATGAAGTTGAACTGATTGAGTGTACAAATGAAACTGATGAAGTTGAACTAAATGAGTGTACAAATGAAACTGATGAAGTTGAACTGATTGAGTGTACAAATGAAACTGATGAAGTTGAACTGATTGAGTGTACAAATGAAACTGATGAAGTTGAACTGATTGAGTGTACAAATGAAACTGATGAAGTTGAACTAATTGTGTGTACAAATGAAACTGATGAAGTTGAAAAAATTCTGTGTACAAATGAAACTGATGAAGTTGAACTAATTGAGTGTACAAATGAAACTGATAAATGAAGTTGAACTAATTGAGTGTACAAATGAAACTGATGAAGTTGAACTGATTGAGTGTACAAATGAAACTGATGAAGTTGAACTAATTGAGTGTACAAATGAAACTGATGAATGAAGTTGAACTAATTGAGTGTACAAATGAAACTGATGAATGAAGTTGAACTAATTGAGTGTACAAATGAAACTGATGAAGTTGAACTGATTGAGTGTACAAATGAAACTGATGAAGTTGAACTAAATGAGTGTACAAATGAAACTGATGAAGTTGAACTGATTGAGTGTACAAATGAAACTGATGAAGTTGAACTAATTGAGTGTACAAATGAAACTGATGAAGTTGAACTAATTGAGTGTACAAATGAAACTGATGAAGTTGAACTAATTGAGTGTACAAATGAAACTGATGAAGTTGAACTAATTGAGTGTACAAATGAAACTGATGAAGTTGAACAAATTGAGTGTACAAATGAAACTGATGAAGTTGAACTAATTGAGTGTACAAATGAAACTGATGAAGTTGAACAAATTGAGTGTACAAATGAAACTGATGAAGTTGAACTAATTGAGTGTACAAATGAAACTGATGAAGTTGAACAAATTGAGTGTACAAATGAAACTGATGAAGTTGAACAAATTGAGTGTACAAATGAAACTGATGAAGTTGAACTGATTGAGTGTACAAATGAAACTGATGAAGTTGAACTGATTGAGTGTACAAATGAAACTGATGAAGTTGAACTAATTGAGTGTACAAATGAAACTGATGAAGTTGAACTGATTGAGTGTACAAATGAAACTGATGAAGTTGAACTGATTGAGTGTACAAATGAAACTGATGAAGTTGAACAAATTGAGTGTACAAATGAAACTGATGAAGTTGAACTAATTGAGTGTACAAATGAAACTGATAAAGTTGAACTGATTGAGTGTACAAATGAAACTGATGAAGTTGAACTGATTGAGTGTACAAATGAAACTGATGAAGTTGAACTGATTGAGTGTACAAATGAAACTGATGAAGTTGAACAAATTGAGTGTACAAATGAAACTGATGAATGAAGTTGAACAAATTGAGTGTACAAATGAAACTGATGAAGTTGAACTGATTGAGTGTACAAATGAAACTGATGAAGTTGAACAAATTGAGTGTACAAATGAAACTGATGAAGTTGAACTAATTGAGTGTACAAATGAAACTGATAAAGTTGAACTGATTGAGTGTACAAATGAAACTGATGAAGTTGAACTGATTGAGTGTACAAATGAAACTGATGAAGTTGAACTGATTGAGTGTACAAATGAAACTGATGAAGTTGAACTGATTGAGTGTACAAATGAAACTGATGAAGTTGAACAAATTGAGTGTACAAATGAAACTGATGAAGTTGAACAAATTGAGTGTACAAATGAAACTGATGAAGTTGAACTGATTGAGTGTACAAATGAAACTGATGAAGTTGAACTGATTGAGTGTACAAATGAAACTGATGAAGTTGAACTAATTGAGTGTACAAATGAAACTGATGAAGTTGAACTGATTGAGTGTACAAATGAAACTGATGAAGTTGAACTGATTGAGTGTAAAAATGAAACTGATGAAGTTGAACAAATTGAGTGTACAAATGAAACTGATGAAGTTGAACTAATTGAGTGTACAAATGAAACTGATAAAGTTGAACTGATTGAGTGTACAAATGAAACTGATGAAGTTGAACTGATTGAGTGTACAAATGAAACTGATGAAGTTGAACTGATTGAGTGTACAAATGAAACTGATGAAGTTGAACTAATTGAGTGTACAAATGATGTTCCCATTCAGGCAGCAGCAGTACAAGCAGTGGAACCAGTCAGGGCACCATGTGCCCTCGCTTTCGACTAGTCATCCGCAGTAAGAAAGGCAAGACCTTGACATTCCAGATGAAAGACGAACAAGAGAAAGTGGAATGGTTGGGGGTCCTCTCTGACCTCTGCAGCAAGACAGGGGGAGGGGACGTCTGCAGCAAGATAGGGGGAGGGGACGTCTGCAGCAAGATAGGGGGAGGGGACGTCTGCAGCAAGATAGGGGGAGGGGACGTCTGCAGCAAGACAGGGGGAGGGGACGTCTGCAGCAAGACTGGGGGAGGGGACGTCTGCAGCAAGACAGGGGGAGGGGACGTCTGCAGCAAGACTGGGGGAGGGGACGTCTGCAGCAAGACAGGGGGAGGGGACGTCTGCAGCAAGACAGGGGGAGGGGATGCCGCAGGAGCAAGCACCTGATGATTCTTCCCCCAAGTTGTGTGGAGTCCCATCTCTCTCCTGTGCTAGTCAATGACTTTATCTTTCATCTATTTATAGCTGGATGCTCCAGTACATGTGGCTACCTACTTGTCTATTTATAGCTGGATGCTCCAGTACATGTGGCTACCTATGTGTCAGATTTGCCCTCTCTAGACATTGATAAGCTGATCAATTCAGTCTAACATTCCTGTTCCAGTGTGGAATAGAAACCATTTTTGGGAGACTTTGAAAGAAATTTTCCATGAATCTGTTTAGATGTCTGACTCAAAGTTTTCCTTGCAGTTCTTATCTTTGTCCAGAACTTTAACAGCAGCACAACCCCCATATTGTAGGTCAATCATATTTTCATTCCATTTCTCTGTCCACTAATTAACCCTAATTAGCCTGAGCGCTGAGCACTTGCTATGATATTGCTAAGAATGAGGCCTATGTTGTAAGGATGGCAACGTGCATTTGTTTCATCTGCCAATGATTAGGATAGAGAGAACTCATCAGTCTAAGACCATGTGTTACATTTGCCAATCATTAGGATAGAGAGAACTCATCAGTCTAAGACCATGTGTTACATCTGCCAATCATTAGGATAGAGAGAACTCATCAGTCTAAGACCATGTGTTACATCTGCCAATCATTAGGATAGAGAGAACTCATCAGTCTAAGACCATGTGTTACATCTGCCAATCATTAGGATAGAGAGAACTCATCAGTCTAAGACCATGTGTTTCATCTGCCAATCATTAGGATAGAGAGAACTCATCAGTCTAAGACCATGGTGAAAGATATAACATCAAGCAATTCTCTAAAACTGTCACAGTCACTCATTTGTTAATTAGATTTACAATTTTTACATTTCCTTGCAATCTCTAATTTCCCCTGGAAGATTTCAGAAATGCCTTCATATGTTGGGGAAATTGAGTTAAAGTATTATTGACAACAACTTACTGGTTTGTCACATCAAGTTATTACATATGTATTATAATTGCGATCCTCATTATAGTCAATTATACTTATGAATTTGGTGTCTAGTTTATTATAGTCTTTTTAATCTTACCTTGTGTGTTCAACTTATGGAGTGAAGGTCATTGAGAAATTATGCTGAAGGTCATTGTTTGAGCAAGTTATACTGAAGGTCATTGTTTGAGCAAGTTATACTGAAGGTCATTGAGCAAGTTATACTGAAGGTCATTGTTTGAGCAAGTTATACTGAAGGTCATTGAGCAAGTTATGCTGAAGGTCATTGTTTGAGCTAGTTATACTGAAGGTCTGAGTTTCAGGCTATTTGGTTGTTGTTGTTTTTTTTGCCGATCAGTTTCATCCTTGGTTGGCAGCAGACCTGCATCAGTACAAATATTCTTAATTAATGACATTCATAACATACTTATTCCCAATAAATGACATACATAACATACTTATTCCCAATAAATGACAGTAATAAATTAAGTATTATTAGGTATTGTTTATAGTAAATTATAGCCTGTATGTTGGCTGGCCAGGATTGTATGGCCTGTATGTTGGCTGGCCAGGATTGTATGGCCTGTATGTTGGCTGGCCAGGATTGTATGGCCAGGATTGTATGGCCTGTATGTTGGCTGGCCAGGATTGTATGACCAGGATTGTATGGCCTGTATGTTGGCTGGCCAGGATTGTATGGCCTGTATGTTGGCTGGCCAGGATTGTATGGCCTGTATGTTGGCTGGCCAGGATTGTATGGCCTGTATGTTGTATGGCCTGTATGTTGGCTGGCCAGGATTGTATGGCCTGTAGTTGGCTGGCCAGGATGTATGGTGTGTGTGTTGGCTGGCCAGGATTGTATGGCCTGTATGTTGGCTGGCCAGGATTGTATGGTGTGTGTGTTGGCTGGCCAGGATTGTATGGCCTGTATGTTGGTTGGCCAGGATTGTATGGCCTGTATGTTGGCTGGCCAGGATTGTATAGTGTGTGTGTGTGTGTCGACTGGCCAGGATTGTATGGCCTGTATGTTGAATGGCCAAGATTGTATGGCCTGTATGTTGACTGGCCAGGATTGTATGGCCTGTGTGTTGGCTGGCCAGGATTGTATGGTGTGTGTGTGTTGGCTGTCCAGGATTGTATGGCCTGTATGTTGGTTGGCCAGGATTGTATGGTGTGTGTGTTGACCGGCCAGGATTGTATGGTGTGTGTGTTGGCTGGCCAGGATTGTATGGCCTGTATGTTGGCTGGCCAGGATTGTATGGTGTGTGTGTTGGCTGGCCAGGATTGTATGGTGTGTGTGTGTTGGCTGAGTAACCCAGCTAGTCCATGTGTGGAAGAGAAATCTAGTCATATGTTTACAAACCTGATCAAACTCACATCAACCCAGCCATCATCTGGTCAAACCATCTGATCCAACCCCCCAACCACCATCTGATCCAACCCCCCAACCACCATCTGATCCAACCACCCAACCACCATCTGATCCAACCCCCCAACCACCATCTGATCCAACCACCATCTGATCCAACCCCCCAACCACCATCTGATCCAACCCCCCAACCACCATCTGATCCAACCCCCAACCACCATCTGATCCAACCCCCCAACCACCATCTGATCCAACCCCCCAACCACCATCTGATCCAACCCCCCAACCACCATCTGGTGATCCAACCCCCCAACCACCATCTGATCCAACCCCCCAAACACCATCTGATCCAACCCCCCAACCACCATCTGGTGATCCAACCCCCCAACCACCATCTGATCCAACCCCCCAACCACCATCTGATCCAACCCCCAACCACCATCTGGTGATCCAACCACCATCTGATCCAACCCCCCAAACACCATCTGATCCAACCCCCCAACCACCATCTGATCCAACCCCCCAACCACCATCTGATCCAACCCCCCAACCACCATCTGATCCAACCCCCCCAACCACCATTTGATCCAACCCCCCAACCACCATCTGATCCAACCCCCCAACCACCATCTGATCCAACCCCCCCAACCACCATCTGATCCAACCCCCCAACCACCATCTGATCCAACCCCCCAACCACCATCTGATCCAACCCCCCATCTGGTGATCCAACCCCCCAACCACCATCTGATCCAACCCCCCAACCACCATCTGATCCAACCCCCCAACCACCATCTGATCCAACCCCCCCAACCACCATCTGATCCAACCCCCCAACCACCATCTGATCCAACCCCCCAACCACCATCTGATCCAACCCCCCATCTGGTGATCCAACCCCCCAACCACCATCTGATCCAACCCCCCAACCACCATCTGATCCAACCCCCCAACCACCATCTGATCCAACCCCCCCAACCACCATCTGATCCAACCCCCCAACCACCATCTGATCCAACCCCCCAACCACCATCTGATCCAACCCCCCAACCACCATCTGGTGATCCAACCCCCCAACCACCATCTGATCCAACCCCCCAAACACCATCTGATCCAACCCCCCAACCACCATCTGGTGATCCAACCCCCCAACCACCATCTGATCCAACCCCCCAACCACCATCTGATCCAACCCCCCAACCACCATCTGATCCAACCCCCCCAACCACCATCTGATCCAACCCCCCAACCACCATCTGATCCAACCCCCCAACCACCATCTGGTGATCCAACCCCCCAACCACCATCTGATCCAACCCCCCCAACCACCATTTGATCCAACCCCCCAACCACCATCTGATCCAACCCCCCAACCACCATCTGATCCAACCCCCCAACCACCATCTGATCCAACCCCCCAACCACCATCTGATCCAACCCCTATACATCTCCACAGCTATCCTCACCTCTCAGTTTTGACTTTCTCCGTCCTCTGCCATTAGGCAACTATTTTATTGATATCTATACCAGAGTCAAGGCTGTCTAGATAAATATCAAGGCTGTTGGCTCCATTGGTTTTTTCTCTTGCTGTTTGAAGCCATTGACACATGTACAAATATCTAGACTACATATGTACACTTGTGTATGTCTTGTGTACTGCCCATTAGTCTTGAAAGAGAAGTTGGTCAGTTCCTTTGACCTTTACATCAGAAAGTTATATCACACATTCCAAAAACTCCCAGCATAATTTTAATTGTCTGCAGTGTTTAAAAAGATACTGGTGTTCTCATGACATCTTTGACTGGTGTTCTCATGACATCTGTGACTGGTGTTCTCATGACATCTGTGACTGGTGTTCTCATGACATCTGTGGCTGGTGTTCTCCTGACATATGTGACTGGTGTTCTCATGACATCTGTGACTGGTGTTCTCATGACATCTGTGGCTGGTGTTCTCCTGACATATGTGACTGGTGTTCTCATGACATCTGTGACTGGTGTTCTCATGACATATGTGACTGGTGTTCTCATGACATCTGTGATTCATGACATCTGTGGCTGGTGTTCTTGTGACATCTGTGACTGGTGTTCTCGTGACATCTGTGACTGGTGTTCTTGTGACATCTGTGGCAGGTGTTCTCATGACATCTGTGACTGGTGTTCTCGTGACATCTGTCACTCATGACATCTGTGGCTGGTGTTCTCATGACATCTGTGGCTGGTGTTCTTGTGACATCTGTGACTGGTGTTCTTGTGACATCTGTGACTGGTGTTCTTGTGACATCTGTGGCTGGTGTTCTTGTGACATCTGTGACTGGTGTTCTCATGACATCTGTGACTCATGACATCTGTGGCTGGTGTTCTTGTGACATCTGTGACTGGTCTTCTCGTGACATCTGTGGCTGGTGTTCTTGTGACATCTGTGACTGGTGTTCTTGTGACATCTGTGACTGGTGTTCTCATGACATCTGTGACTGGTGTTCTCATGACATCTGTGGCTGGTGTTCTCCTGACATATGTGACTGGTGTTCTCATGACATCTGTGACTGGTGTTCTCATGACATATGTGACTGGTGTTCTCATGACATCTGTGATTCATGACATCTGTGGCTGGTGTTCTTGTGACATCTGTGACTGGTGTTCTCGTGACATCTGTGACT